CTCCCAGCCAGCTTGGTGTCAGAATGGTTCCATGAGGCCCTGCAGTGTCACAATGGTCTCCACGGTTCCATGACACTCCGTGGAGTCACAGTGGATCCTTGGTGCTTTGGGCCCTGCAGTGTCACAGTGGATCCTTGGTGCTTTGGGCCTGTCATGGTTTTAAACCAATAACTAGGAAAATTACTTATTTCTTGCTGTGAGATATGGATTAGAACAAGAGCAAAACAGGCATACAACTTAAAAGGGAAAAAAAAAGAAAGTTTATTGACAAACTACAATAATAAGAACACCAGAATAAACTTCCAGAAAAACCTTTCCATCCCCTATCTACCCACTATTTCCTTGTTCACATGACAACAGAGACAAAAAACTCTGGAACTTTGATGGTTAAAACAGTCCCAATTCTTGCTACCGTCTCTTCACCAGTCTTTATAGAGAAACAGAAGTTTCTTCCCGTTAATTTATGGAGTTTCTCACAAGAAAACTATCACCAGTCTTTATAGAGAAACAGAAGTTTCTTCCCGTTAATTTATGGAGTTTCTCACAAGAAAACTATTTTTGTTATAGTTTTCCATTGCCCTAATGTTAGCTGCCCAGAGCTGCTATTATTAGAGTTCACTCCTCCCATTTTCACATCCCTCTGAAGTGTGTATGGGCCATGAGTCTAGGGATAACATTTTTAATGATAAGTTATTCAAAGGGAAAAAAGTCTTCATCATCTGTTTCCGTGAGCTTCACCAGAAAACAGTTTTCTCATTGCCTCTCAAGGCTTCAAATCTCCCAGCACTTCACTATACCATAATTACTCTACTTTTTACTCAAATTTACACTTTGAACACTTTATTCCTCCCTAGATACTGTATCATGAATTAAAGGAGTTCTTTTCAGGACTTCATTGTCCATCTCCATAGTTTTAACAGAAAGATATTTCAGCTTAATTAAAGCATCTTCTTAATTCTCTACCTTTCCTGAAGCTTATTTTCTTTCCTGTCACTGGTAGTTTATAAAGTCTCTTTTCATGTTGATTACTCTCTTTTTCTCTCTCTGGATAAAAAGATTAATCCGCAAGTCTCATCTGGGTAATGAAAGAGTTAAAATCTTGCCCAGGCTTTTGTAGCTGGTTCGGTGATCTCTGCCAAACAGGAGCTGGAGCTGTCTGTGATGGAAGGTTCCTCATAGCTGCTCTGGAGAGTGTGGCTGTCTCTGCTTGCTGCAGGTTCAGAGCCCCTTTCTTTCTTCACTCGGCAGTTTCTAGTGAATGTAGTTACAGCAAAACCTGCAGCTGAGCCAGAGATCGGCTCGGCCCGGCCCGGGCCCGAGGAAAACCTTCCCCAGGCCCCGCCATCTCCCGGCCGGGAGCCGCAGCAGGCCCGGCCCCATCCCCGCCCGGCCGCATGGCCTGGGCAGGGAACGGGAGGCCTGGAGCTCTGCCACCCTTCACAGCCAGAAAACAAAGAGAACTAAAGTGCCCTGACTTTACATCTTAAGGTAGGGTTCACAAGTTGATCTCCCTTTTCAATGGTTAAAATTGCTGTCAATTCCCAGTAATGACCAATAATTGGTCAGGAGAAGAGACTCCTTTCAGTCCCCAGCAACTTCAGCTTCCTTAGCTCTCACAACCACCTTAAAGGTAAAGTCACCTCATGACACAGGGAGAGAGTCTCCCCCTGATTTCTTTACTCGCTTGATAAGACTGGAATTCCTGAAGAAAATCAGTGAACCCCACAAACATCTGCTGGCTGGAAACCAGAGTGAAGAGAAACCTCATCCCTGAGCCAGCCGGGCCACTCCGGGAGCTTCCAGTCAACCTTTTTTTGGCCCAAATTCTGCCTTTCAGCGCCGAAACTCCCCCTTATGGGTCTAAACTTCCCAAATTCCCCTGTTTTGGTCCAAACTTCCCATTTGGGCACCCAAATTCCTATTTTGTAGGCCAAATTTCTCCCTTTTAACACCAAATTTCCACTTCTGGGTCCAAATTTCTCATCTGGGCACTCAAATACCTATTTTTTCTCCTTTTAATTCCACTTTTTGGGTCCAAATTTCTCACCTGTGAAACAGAGAAATTAAGAATTAGAAAGAAATGCTTGACTAAAAGGAGTGTCTGACAAAAACCATACCCTGACACCCTAATCCACAAGAACAGGAGAAAGAGCCAGACTGCAAGATGAGATAAGGAGCTGGAATACACAAACAAGATGCAAAGACAAAGGCACCACAAGATAAAGGAGATTCCTCGGACCCTAAGCCGGAAGAAACGGATTTGAAGTCCCAATAAGCGGCCAAAGGACTGAAAGGGGAACGGGGCTAATTGTAATATGAAGTGAAGACAGGCAGGGTTAGGAAATTAATATGTATTAGGCGTATCGTGTAAACCTAGTCTGTAAAGGATAAAAAGGGAAAACCCAATCAAAAAGGTGTGCATGCTTTTGGAGGAGATATCCCCATGCACCTCAGCACTGAATAAATTCATACCTGCTCTTATAACTACTCTGCGAGTTATAGGGTTCCTTTTATTCCGCACTTCAAAATTAATTCAAAAACTTCAAATGAAACCTATGCTGTAGCTGTTATCATGTCTGCAAAGGGCCCTTGCAGATAAAACAACTGAGAGCAATTTCTATTTTTTGAATTGAACGGAAAAGGGTGAATTGTTGCAGTAGTGTCACAGTGCAGCTGGTCTGGACTGGCCAAAGAAAATCTAGACATAAGACAAATCTAGTCTGGCTAGCCTAATTTATGTGTGAACCACTGCACACCACTGGCCAGGAGGCTGGGCAGGGAAAGAAGCATCAGCCAATGGCTGTCTAGCCTGGGAAATTTGAACTGAGTATTTAAGTGAGTTGTAAATAATAAATGAGGCTGTTTGTCTCATGAGCACCTGGAGCGTGAGTTGTGCATTCTTTGTCTCCCCATCCACGACCATCACGTTACACACTGCCACTTCTTCCCAAAGCTCCTTCCAGACAGCATCTGCTACAGACACATCCCCCACTGCCATCCCTTGGCCAGGGGCCTCGTGGCTCATGCCAGACCCTTCTTCATCCCGAGGAAGCCTCCTCCCAGGAAGGGGGGAGCCCCCCACAGCCCAGGATTCTCCAGCTCAGCTCCCCTAGAGCCAGGCCTCCTTCTGAGCCCCACATGCCCTGAGCCAAGTGGGGATTGGTGGCCATCTTGGCCACAGCAACCACAAATAAATTGAGGTTCAAACATAGGATAAGAGAAAAAGGGCCAGCAAAGCCTCAGCTCGCGGCATGAGGAGAGCAGACTTCAGGCTGCTCAGGGAACTGGTACGCAAGGTCCCCAGGAAAAATGTCATTGAGTGTGCTGGGCTCCATCATTGCTGGTCACTTTGGAAACATCACCTCCTGTGGCTGTGATGTGCCACAGTTGTCCTGGCCACAGCACTGTGGCATCATTGCCTTGTCGCTCTACAACACGGGCCAGCAGCCACAGCGGCCAGTGCAGTCGCGATGGGACGTGCCGGAGTCATGAATGACGGTGTTGTCCTGATGACTGTGCTTGTCCTGCTGCTGGCCGCTGTGGCTGTCTGCTGGGCTGTTGGCCACGGGCAACCACGGAGGCAGCAGACATGGAAGCCAAAGCAGAGCAAGCGCTGCTGGGTCTGGCCTAGAGGCTCACGGAGGAAGTGAGGAGCCCCTGTGGCTCCGAGATACTCCAGGCCCCTGGCGGCCCCTGGCAAGTAGCCACGTGCTCCTGCGATCCCTCTGGACAGCTCCTGCAGCTGGGGCTCCTGCATGGCAGTGGCCCAGGAGCTGCAGGAACTGATGCTGCTGCTCTGGGATCGCAATGGGACGTGTGTGCCACTCTATCCTGGGATGTGGCAGGCACTCTGGAGAGAACTGGAGGAGCTGGTGAACCGAGGCCACCTGGCCTGCTGTGGCTCGTCTGGTTCCTCCAGAAGCCTGCATCACCCCAAGAGGCTGCTCCCAGGAAAATTCTCCAGCCCTGGGAAAGCCTCAAGGCCTGCAAGGATGGCACACCAGCAGAGACCCACCATGCAGGCAGGAACATCAGGCTGTCAGAGACCCTCCATTCTGCCAGGAGCCTCTGCTATCTCTGACAGCCTCCATCCCTCGCAGAGGCTCAGGGAGACCTGTCAGCCTGCAAAAGGTGCAGAGCCCACGGACAGTTCTTCCAGCTCCCTTGGACTCACAGACTTCAACAAGAAGGCTACAACCCTGACCATTGATGTGGCCAGCGAAAGCCCAGAAGTCCAAGTGGGAGCCCAGCCCAATCCAGGGGAGCCTTCTCAGGAGCAGCTGGCGGAGCAGCAAGCATCCTGGAAGCAGCAGTTGTCATCCCACAGCTGCCAGAACGCTGTGCAAGTTGTGCCAGCTGGCAACAGCCCAAGCCTGGTGGTGGAGACGACCCTCAAAACACCAAGGAGGTGCCTCCATCTCCAGGAAGCTGCCCCAAGACGGCCCTTGACTACCGCCAAGGCCTTTCTAAGAGCAGGTGAGATCTCCTGAGGAGCTGTCTGAGGCTGGCCCAGTGCTCTTGAGGGACACCCCAGGCCAGGCCATGGCCTCTGAGAGCAGCCCAGTCCCTGGCTGTTTGCAGTGCCAGTTCTGATGGCACGGCTTCAAAAACCCGTCTGGTTTGCAGCTGCTCCTGTGCTCCCCCTGTGCAAAGCCTTGGGCTGTAGCCCCGGCCGTTCTCAACAGCAGAGTCCAGCCCACAACGCCGGGGACAGTGACGGTGCCATCCAGCCACACTGCACTCCAGCTCCTGCAGCCTCTGCGTGCTCTGCTGTCCCAGCTCTGCTGCTCAACAGCCCGACGGCTGCAAGGCGGTGGCCACAGCTCGGCAGGCAGCAGGAAGCAGGTCAGAGCAACATGAGCCACACTGGCCCGGCCCGCTGCACTCAATGCGGGCATTTGGGGAGGTTCCTGGGCACAAGGCTGATGGCTCGCTCTTGGTGGCAGGGCAAAAGAAGAAGCTGCAGGAGCTGTACCAGCTGGGTCTGCAGCTGGGGAGTGGTGGCTTCGGCACCGTTTTCTCAGGCATCCGCCTCTCGGATGGGAGCCCTGTGAGTGGCCGTGATGGCCGGGCGTGCGAGGAGGGTGAGGGATGGGGAGGGGCAGGACTTGAGCTAAGCCTCTCTCTCTCTCTCAATGGCTTGCAGGTGGCTATTAAACGCGTGGCTCGGGACAGCGTCCTGCAGTGGGACGAGCTGGTGTGTGAGCGGGGCCAGCAGGACAGAGCGGGGCACGGCTGGCAGGGATAAGCCCGGGCTCCCGGGAGTGGGAGGCGGTAGATGGCTGGGGGAGCGGGCATGGGCTCAGCGTGCAAGCCATTGGGGCATTGTGGGCCCAGAGATGCCAAACATGGACAGTAGGGCCGGGCAGGGGGCACCTCCAAGCAACCCCTGGGCAGGAGGAATGCCAAGCAGCAGGGAGTCTGCCCAAGAGGGCACTGGGGCATCCCAGGCAGGAGGCAGCACAGCCACAGCTTGGCAGCATCTGGCTTGCTGAAGGCATTGTCTCTTCCTCACAGCCCGACGGCACCCGCGTTCCCGTGGAGATCGTGCTCTTGGAGAAGGTGGGCTCTGGCTGCCACAACATCATCCAGCTCCTCGACTGGTTTGAGCTGCCTGACAGCTGCCTGCTGGTGATGGAACGTCCGCAGCCATCTCAGGATCTCCTGCACTTCCTGCTGGAGCAGGGCTTCCTGTGTGAGGAGATGGCACGCTGGCTTTTCTGCCAGGTGCTGGGGGCCGTGCGGCACTGCACTGCCTGCGGCGTCCTGCACCGAGACATCAAGCCGGAGAACCTCCTGGTGGACCTGGAGAGCGGCGAGCTGAAGCTCATTGACTTCGGTTGCGGCACCTTTCTCCAGGAGCAGGTCTTCACGCAATTTGCCGGTGAGCCCACAGCCCGGGCCCTGCTCCCAGTGCCAGGCACTGCACGGCCCCATTCCCTCCTGGGCTGCAGGCTGCATCCTTCAGCTGGCTGCTGGCTGCCCCTTGGCAGCAGATGCTGTGCCCCAGGAGCTGGCTGCTGGCCCTGCCCACAGGGGCGGCTGCAAAAGCCAGCTCCTGGCCCCTCAGCTTAGCAGGCCCACAAGGGCTTGGGCTGCTCTGCTGGCCTTCTTTGCCTTGCAGAATGGTTTCTTGGCTTTGGCCAGTTGCCTGGGGGATGTGGGCTGGCCTCGGGGAGAAGTTGTGTCCACCGCTGCAGCTCCTGCCTCTGCCAGGAGGCGGGCACCAGGCGCTGAAAGCCAGCAGCCTGCATCTGGACAGGGCCAGCCATCTCCCCTAGGAACACACGCGTACAGCCCACCCGAGTGGATCTGCCTTGGCGTCTACCATGGCCATTCAGCGACCATCTGGTCCCTGGGCGTGCTGCTGTATGTCATGGTGTGTGGCAACCTCCCCTTCCAGGAGGACTGTGACATCAGGTTGGGGCAGCCCTTCTTCAGGCAGCAGATCTCTCCAGGTCGGTATCTGGCCTCAAGTAGACAGACTCTTGCAGATGGCAGCATGCAGCCCAGCATGGCCCTCACCCAGCTCCACAGGACATGGATCTGCCCTCAAGAGCTGGCCGCAGGAGGTGGCCCATGCAACTGAAGGAGGTGCATGTGTCCCAGCGTGCCACTCTCCCACACAGGGCAGAGTCCCTTGGGAGGCTGGCGCAGCTCTGAGCACACGCAGCGCGGCCCGGGCCCTGTGGGCGCCGTCAGCAGCTGAGCAGGAGCCTTCTGAAAATGACCAGCACTCTCTGGCTTCTCTCCCCAGAGTGCCAACATCTGATCCGCTGCTGTTTGTCCAAGCACCCCGCGGACAGGCCAGAGCTGGAGGAGATCTTGCGCCACCCTTGGGTGCGGGGCCGGCGTTTCTGATGCCTTGCTGGAGCCTCTGCAGCACCCACTTCCTGAATCCCATGCAGGACTGAGGACCCAAAAAATAAAACCATAAACCATAAGCATATTCTAGGCTGTCAAGTCTGGTTCTTGTTAGCAACTTCAGCTAAAGAGACCTCTTGGGAAAAGGGGTGATCAAAGGCACTCCCTTCAGCCTTTGTCAAGCTTTTGATGCCTTTCCTCCAGGATGGTACTTTTGCATCTTCAAGCACAGGCTGTAGTACAGCTAGGAGGGTGTTTAACAAGCCAAGAAGTGCAACAGTGAAACAACAGCTGCCCTTTCAAACTGTCCAGCTTCTTGGTGTCTCCTGAAATGAAACTAAGGCTGTGTGTGCATTCCAAGGGCCAGCGGGTGGCAGGAGCCGAGATGTTCCTCTGCTACCAAAGCTGTGCTTCTGGAAGCACCAAAACTTCCTTTCAGATTGAGCCCTGATGAACTCTTCCTCTTTCTTCCCCTCAAATGGGAGGCAGGGCTGGGCCTTTGACCAGCTGGCTCCACAGCTACCTAAGTCATGCACATGGAGCTCAAGGGAAATGTTGAGATGCTGGAGTCACTCCCATGCTGCTGGGTTCCGTGCACTTCCCCAAAATATCTTCCTCTGCCTTAAAAACAACTCATGGAGATGGAAAGTGCAGTAACTATTCTAGTCAGAGGAAAGAACCCAGTTGCCTGCCCTGGGCCTGGGGGCAGGTGCCATCTACTAAACCTGTGCCACCTTCTGTCTACTGCACTCACCTACCAAAACAGGTGTCAGGAAAATTAATCCACAAACACCAGAGGTTTATGTACAAAAAGGAGACAGAGGAGTCCTTTTTATTTTATTCGAATAAAGGGAGAGGCCATGGGGCATTCCGCTGGGGTCTCTCAAATTTTTGGAGGGCGCAGCCTCCTTTTTATCCTAATTCCTGGCCGCTCGTCCCTTCTCTCTTTCCCCACAGGCTGAGGTACTTGACAGGTACCGACTGCCCGGAACGCCTGATACCTGCCATACCTTCCCCCCCACCCCCAAT